TCCAGGGGATCGTCAGAAGAAGGAAGCATATAAACGCTGGCAAAAGACAAGGAGCCCAGAAGACTACGCTGCCTACAAGAGCTGCAAGCGACTCGCTAAGGCAGCCGTTGCTAAGGCCAAGAATACGGAAATGGACGCCCTGTACGAGAAGCTGGAAGGCCGAGAAGGGGACAAGTTCGTCTTCCGCCTGGCTAAAGCTCGGCATCGCGCTGCTCAGGACATCAGGGTCGTAAAGACTGTGAAGAGCAGCAACGGGGCCATTCTCAGGAAACCAGCCGAAGTCAGAAAGAGGTGGGAAGAATACTTCGAGGGACTACTGAAAGAATTCCCCGCAAGGATAGCCCACAGATAGAGGCGACGGCAGGTCCCATCACTCCCTGGACGAGGATGAAGTCCGCCGTGAGCTAGGGAGAATGAAAGTTGGGAAAGCAGTGGGTCGGGGTACCGATAGAGGCATGGAAGGCCCTGGGAGAGCTTGGGGTGAGTTGGCTAACAGACTTCCTAAACAATGTAACGGCTGAAGGAAGGATGCCAGATGCGTGGAGGAGCAGCACATCGTCCCCATCTTATGACAGAAAGGGGATGACGGAGTTACCGCGGCATCAAGTTGACTCCCCATACATGAAGCTGTACGAGCGCCTGGTCAACACTAGGCTGAGGGAACTTGTCCCTATCTCGCAGGAACAGTTCGGCTTCATGCCCGAAAGGTCCACCACTGATGCCATCTTCATCGCCAGACAGCTGATGGAGAAGTACCGAGAGAAGCGGCGACCCTGCTACCTAGCCTTCCTGGACCTTGAGAAGGCATTCGACCGCCTGCCTCGGCCTGTACTCTGGAGAGCGCTTAGAGAACGTAACGTTCCGGAGCACCTGGTCTCCATAGTGAAGGATATGTACGATGGGGCTAAAGCAGCTGTACGCACCCCGCACGGCTTGACGAAAGAGGTAAACATCACGGTTGGGGTACACCAAGGATCAGCCCTCAGCCCGTTCCTCTTCCTCCTGACTCTAGATGTCATGGCAAAAGAACTCATGGAGGGACCACTGAAAACCATCCTCTACGCTGACGACATCGCCCTGATAGCGGACAGCAGGGAAGAACTCCAGGACAAGGTGCAGCGGTGGCAGGATGTGCTCGCTGAGAATGGACTCCGGCTGAACGTAAAGAAGACCAAGTTCCTGAGCTCCGAAGAGTGTACCGAACCCATCGTAGACCGCCATGGCGAGCATCGAAAGGGTCGAGGACTTCCAGTACCTGGGGAGCGACCTAGCAGCTGATGGCAGCGTGGACCAGGCGGTGAAGGCCCGAATCAACGCAGCCTGGATGAAATGGAGGGAGTCCACTGGCATCCTGTGCGACCGGCGGTGCTCGAGAACGCTCAAGGGCAAGGTGTACCGGGCGGTGGTAAGGCCTACAATGCTCTAAGTGAGTGCTGGCCCATCTGCAAGAACCATGAAAGGCAGCTCCACTCAGCTGAAATGAGGATGCTGAGATGGGCCTGCGGCTGGACACGACTCGACAGAGTCAGAAACGAGGACGTCAGGGCGGTCACACAGACGGCTCCGATCCAGCTGAAGGCACGAGAGCAGCGACTGCGATGGTATGGGCACGTGCTGAGAAGGCCTGAGGACCACCCAATAAGGAAGGCATTGGAATTCGAAGCAGAGGGCAAGCGACCACGAGGAGCCCCAAAGAAAAGATGGAGGGACGTCATCAAGAAGGACCTCACTGAAGTGAAAGCCACGGCAGAAGATGCAGTGGATCGGAACAAGTGGCGACGTCTAACAAGAACAGCGGACCCTGCGACGGCGCGGGACTAACGCTAGGGAGAAGAAGAAGAAGAAGAAGAAGACGACACGACGAATGGACTTGTCAAGAGCAAAGCGTAAAAAAGAAAGTCGGCGCCCACAGCTTTATGGGGTATTTTGAGTGCCCTTGTGCAGAGCTCAATAACCGTAATGAAGATGAGAACCAGTGCTCAGGAGTAGTCAAGACAAAGTTTACCAATTCGAAGAACAGCAGTCATCTTCCAATGGCGGTAATTCCAGTTTTTTGCACAAAGAACCCTTAAAATGTGCCCTCAACGGCAAGCTCCGCGTTCATTCGATGTACTGGCGCCTTTTTTGGGCACGGTAGTCCTGCTCGTAAACATGGAGAATGTGATTTTCATGGCTCGGAAATGTATGACTAGAGCGCGACCTGTTTATGACGAGGGCAGTGCCCCGCCCAAATGCCACGGCTATGCCCATCCTTAACTCATCAAGGTGTTTCGCTGACGCGGTTGTTCTGCTTCAAACTGTCTCCATTTCGAACGATGAGAGTAAGGCGGTAAGGGGACTGTGGAAGATCCTCCCTAACTTTCGCTTAACAATAACAACAACAACAGGATACTCTCGCTTCGTCGAAATTAGGACGCCTTTCGCAATGTGAAGAGGGGAATTTCCGGGATTTTTTTCATCGTACTGTGCAGCAAAAACACCATTACCCATGAAAATCTGATTGATAAGTTTGCTGCCATTCTTCGCCAGTTTCCACCAAACCGCTTGCTGCTCGTATTTCCATCAGTTTGTCTTCAAAAAACATAAGGCAACACTTTCTTGCAAACTTAGTGCCAAAATAGTTCTCCAACACTTCAGCATGCATTAGGTTTCGCTAAGAAAATCTCATTTTACCCCCGTTCCTGCTTTTCCTTTAGAGAAGCAATTTGAAGGATCTGAAGGAAGCTTTCTCACGACGCTGCTCGGCTTGGGGAGGAGAAAGGTGAGGGTTTTCTACTTCCGTTAGCTGCTTCTGCCTGTTCTTGCCAACAGACAGTTCTGCAGCTGGTGGCTTCTGAACTCTTGTGAAGCGACGAATGAGGACAAGCTATCGTTTCAACTACAGAATCTAGCTCAGCTCAGACCATTTGGTGCCCACACCAAATCGAATTGCGCCTTCATTGATTTGTTCCTATCACCAAGGGCTTGAAATAACGCCCACTATGCAGGATCCTTTTTGTTCCCGTAGAAACGGCCTGATTTGTTGGGCTTGATAGCGCAAAAGAAGGTGTCCCATACCACGGAAGGTTTCTGTCAGCAGTTCGGGGCATGGCCTGCCGTTGGGGAGAAGTCTCGCGAAGCAAATTTCTCTCAAAACACTTTCCTCCACTGCCAGGACTTTTGACACTTTGTGCACTCTTCTCCGGTGATTTATTTAGCTGACTGATAGATTTTTGTCGGCATCTGAGGAACGTTCAGACTGATATTCAACGACTTCCTTTATAAGACTATGGCGGCTATGACACTGAAACAGGCTCCGCGTTCATTTGACGTCTAGGTGCCTTGATTGACCACTTATTTGCTTGCAGAGGTCCACAATATTTTTATTATTAATTTATTACTACTTTATTAATTTTATTCATGCTTTTGTAGTGCAACACGTGAGCAGAGCGATAAGCTGGCGCCGAGGTCACGTCTCCGTCCACTGACCACGCCTGTCTTTATTTTGACTGCTCTTTCATTTCTTTACTGCTATCTGATGGCGCACTTATTCCGCTGCTAACTCACTCAGTTTAGAAGGTGAGAATGGGGTCATGAAAGATCTGACGCCAAAAAGAGAAGGCGTCCGACCACGCCCATTCTTTGCCTTACGCACTTGGCGCAGCTCACGATAGGGTTCTATACGGGCATTTTGGACATGGGCATAGGCTATGTGGACTTATGGGCTTCTTTTTTCTTCGACCGACAGACACCTACACTGTTGGCAGCAACTGAGTTACATGTCCTAATGGCAAGACTGGCGATTGTGCCTCAGCGGGCGTCATTTATCAGATTGAATGCAGGACATGTAATTCAACATACATTGGGAAACAGGAAGGGTCTTATCAGTCCGTATCAAGGAACATCTGTCTGGTAAAAGGAGCAAATCACCGTTAGGTAGGCATAGAATAGAGCAGCATGATATCGAAGATCTTATTACCAAGTGCACGATTTTAGCCTATGAGGCGGAGATTTCAGCAAGAAAGCGCGGAAGCCTTTTGGATTTCAGCACGAAATCCAAGCATGAACAGAACAAGTGTATACCCATCCACGAATGATCTACTACCGTTCATGGAACATTGCGAATTGCATACATGATAAGCGAACACGTGCGTTCTGATCAAAGGAGAGTAACACTCAACTTGCTCATTAACTTACTAATCTACTAAATACTAACCGAGCGTAGCTTTGCTACACTCTTGTAATGGAACACGGTGAGCTTATTTTTCAACTTTTGGGTATTTTTGCACAATCGAGATGACGTCAGAAATACTAGTGGGGGGGATAAGGCGTTTGGTGGGATAAGGTGCGATTCAGGCTTTGAGCCATGTATAGGCCTTTGACGACGACGAATAGGTCGAAACGTTGGCCGAATAAAAATTCATATCTACAAAGCTTGTTGGCAAAAACAGATGTACAGAACTTCTTTTTCTGTTTCTTTTTGTCTTCTCTGCTTTTTTTCTGCTTTGGTGTTTCTCGCCATAATGTCATTAGTAGACGAGCAGCACAAGTTCACCATTTACAAATATGGTGCGCGCTTTGAGTGGCATAATATGAGATTTGCGCAGGCTCAGTACAATTCAGTGAATCAATAAGTTACATTGAGCTTTATGGACTTTTTTCAAAAATGCTTAATTTGATCCACCTGCCACTCCAGTTTGAGCATTTGAATACTAGTGAAACTGAAACCTCAAGAAAAACTAAGGAGCTATTCAAGGGGAGGAAACTCAGGGGCAAAATTTTCCAACTTTCGCGCAATTTTTTCGAGTGACAAAAATAAAAAAAGGAAAAAGATAAACAAAGACATTGCTTATGGGCCAACCCAGTACATCGTAGCAAAGCCCGTCTCCCTTCTCTACGTTACTTAGCTTCACAATGCTTTCTTGAAACGGTTCAGGTGTTTAAATTTGTACAGCAGACCCATTTTGAGATATCATCTTCGTTCAGGATGGTAGCAGAGGACATTATCTCTCAGAGGTACGATGATATCGTCAAGAGCCCGTCAGATCAAAGAGAGGTTCGTATTTTCTCATTCAGATTTTATAGATTCAGGAACAGCGGTGACCTAGCCATTTTTTCTGTGAACCCGGTGGTAGATCCGTGCCCCGTTTTGGCACTCCTTTGCTTTTCTGTGCTGGCCAGATCGCGACAAAGAGAGGTGGCACGGCTTGTATTATCGGGATGGTGTAATCGGGGAGCTAGTGCGCAACCCAGCAGTTGGTACCGCACGCAGGCTCCAAAGAACAAGTCTATGCTTGGAAGCTCCTTTCTCGCCCGGAACATATACTTCATATCAGGTCCGTCTGGAAGGTAGAATTTACAAAATTCCGCATCCGCAACAGCGGTGCGCACCGCTGTTTTCTCCAGGGGGAAGGGTGGGGACTAGGGGGACTGCAGGCGTACTGGCACTATTCTACCCATACCGATGCTGCACCCTAGCTGTAGAAGGGTTTCATCTCATATATTGGGCCATGGTTTTTCCCAAGGCCAAGCAAGCATTGCGTGTCTCCTGTGGAGCTGAAACTGGAATTAAAAGGATGAAGGAGGCATGCTTATAGAGATAGGGACGCTGAATCGAAATTTGGCTCGCTTTTCTTGTATTCCACTATCGACCTTTTACCCATTATCCATTCCGGAGTGCAGATCACACTGATCTCGCAAGTGAGGCCAGGTACATTTCAAAATCTTTCTCATTGCGCTCTCTTGCCTCGTACGGTGGTAAAACTGTGAGAGCGCTAACGAAGAAACTGAGACGGTGGGCGTGGCTCCGCCAATCTTTGGGAGTCCCTCTTCACCTGTATTTATCAGCGTGATTCTGGCCAAATGTAAAGAATTCGCTGTCTTGCAGTATCGGGGACTTGAACTCACAAATGGCCTCCGGGTACTACTGGTATCGGATCCCACTACAGATAAATCTGCCGCTGCAATGGATGTTAATGTCGGTGGGCCACTATTACTTAACTTTCAATGGAATGCACTACTTTTTGATATTAAAGAAACTATTCAAACTTCGAATATCTTGTAAAGATATAAGAATTCTGTAGTAACCTAATCCAGGAAGTCTCATGGATCCGTGGGAGCTTGCCAAGGGCTGGCGCACTTCTGCGAGCACATGCTCTTTCTTGGTACTGATAAATATCCAGAGGAGAACGAATTCTTCAGTGTAAGTCATGTAAATAAGAGTGGACCAGGTAGAAATTATAGGCACTCATTTCCCCAAAATTTCAATCTCATCTTTTTCTCAGCTCAGGGGTTATTCAGTGCCCCGATCACGAAATAAAGCTTATCCGGCGTCGACGCCATTCGGCGCCAAGTGGTGGTGCTATTAGCATTTTCATTCCAATTCGAAACAAACTGGCATACCGGGTTTCTCGACGTTCAGATTACGAATTTAGCATTGTTTTTAGTGTTGAGGCATTTGATGTCAGAATGGTGCCTGTGAAACTTGGCCCTGATACTCTTTTTCTTCGAAATTGGAATAAACTTGCATACTAAGGTAACTTGATGTAACATACATTTTTTAACGAGGGCGCCATACCGTTAGGTGTCAGTTCCGTACTGTTTTCCACCAAATAGATGTAAATGTGCCCCGCCAGATATTTCACCAATGCTGGAATGAGCTCACATACTGAGATAACTTGATATCATTACGCTTGTAGCTTTCAATTTAACCGCGGCCGCAACTGGCAGCCGATATGTGTTAGTCCGGCGCCACCACAGTGTTCACCAAATGTATATAAAGCATCGTACCGAGTTTATTTGGAATTCTTCTTGCGAATACGCCACTCATTCCCTGCGCCGGCACTGAAGGAGATCACACTTTTGTCTACGCTTAGCTACGACAGTCCAATGGGAGGAGAATCACTTTCCCTTCCAGGTGCAGCCTTAACGGAGTGATGATTGGCGCAAAAAACCGGAAATGATTTCAGTGAGCAGGATCCTTAACTGGTTTCCAACGGATTTGTGTTGGGGATTAAGGTGCCATACTGCTGCGGGGAAATTGTGCATGCTCGCATCAGTTTTGAAGAAGAAGGTTATGCGGTGAAGAATACTTGCGCCAGCTCCATGCACGCGCCAAATCGCGACGACGCTAAGCA